TTCTACTTTTTTTCATAGTCTAACGAATATCTGTCTAATTACTTTTTCTCCAAAATCTTTCTCTCTCTCTCCATCTCTCTCTCTCTCTCTCCATCTCTCTAACTATATTTCCCTTTTTCCTTTAACTGACTTTTGGCGATAACCACCTTATTCTTCCCTGTGATATATATTCTGAAACGTTCATTTGGCAAGAAGGAATATTTTTGACTTGTATATGCAGTATTTAGAATTTTCAAACAAAACGTGTTTAATAATTATTCAACAAGATATTTTAAAGAAATCTGTTTAACAGTTAACTAGCTATATATTTTAAGGAATTCAAGCTTCAACAAAATAGCGCTTATATATATATTTACATTTATTAAGAGCATTCGAGTTTCGTGCGACAGCTGATAGTTTTTTCGTCTTGATTCATTTTATTTATTTAATGTTTTTTTTTTTGTTTGTTGACTGTGACACATTTTGGTGCCCTCACTTTATTGCATATCGTTGTCATTGTTGTTGTTGCTGTAATTGTTGTTGCGCTCTCCTCGCTGGCGGCACGTGCTTTTGCATTTTTTATGAAAATTTAGAGCCTGCTGCCGCTGTTGTTGCTCTTGCAACACTTGAGCGCACTTTAATTAAATATTTATTTCCATCATTTTGGGCAAATGGAAATGCGTTCAGGTGGGGTCAACTAAATCAGAGCTGCTAGAGAGAGAGAGTGAGGGAATGAGAGAGGGGATGCAGGGAGAGAGACTGCACTAACATTTGTCATTACACATTAATAGCGCACCATTAATCTTTTCGTGAGCTGTTGGCCAAATGAATGCTGCTACCAAGGGCCAAGTCTCGTTAATTAATGTATGCCATTTAGCCGGAAAATTGCAGGGGTGCACACACACATGTCCTGTGTGTGTTCGTGGGTTTCGGCCCATCATAATGAGCGCCAATTCAGTGTCCTTGTGTGTGTGCGTGTGTGTGTGTGTCGTTGTCGCCACCGCAAACAAGCAAAGGCCAAAGCCACAGCCAACCCCACCGGCTGAACTCTCTCGCTCGCTTTCTTCCTCTCTATCTATCGCTGAATCGCTGTCCCGTTCTCTCTCTGCCCAGCAGGTATGCTTGATTAATGCTTTATAACAGGACACTGAACACACACAAACAAAACAAGGATATTGCTGCCTGCATGGATGCTGACCCCGCAGCTGACGCCCAGTCGCGCCCTGCTGCCCCGCCGCCCTGCCGCCCTTCCACTCCCGCAGGGCTCTTGCATTTTAACATTAATTTAGTGGAATGCGGCAAAGGACTATGAAAGCTTTTCAGCGTCGTCGTCGACACATGTTAATCCCGTCGTTGTCACTACCACAACCACTCACATCCATATTCACATTACACATTCGCATTCACATTACATTCATTTAAGCCCCCTCCAGGTCAAGCATTCGCATTTCATATACGGATTTAGGATGCATGAATTTGAACAGCTTAATTTTTGAACGGATATTGTAAACTTAATCTGGCAGCGGGTTTGAGAAGTTGATAAGCAAAGTTTGTGTTACGTTAATAAACAGCGAAAATCTGTTAAAACTTTTAAACAAATCGATAATAAGGTATTTTCTGTATTCAGTAAAAGTATATGGGAAGGGCTATATAATTATATGTAGATAAAGCTGTAGAAATGATAAATAAATATCTATATAAATATTATATATATAATATATATACATATCTATATAAAGAAAGAAAGATAAAGATACTTGCAAAAATAAATATACAGATATAGGATAAAGGGCCTAGAAATAGATATAAATGTTGATAAAGATTTAAATATACATATACATTATTAATTTTTTATAAAAACATAGAGGTTCGACAATAGCAGAGCGTTCATCTTTGATTATTAATAAATTATGTATTAAGCGAGAGTATTTTATTCTTATTAAAATAAATTTAAATGAATAAATGAAGCTTGATTAAACACAACAAACAAAATTTAGAAAATTAGTTTGCTTGGCAACTGCTGTTTTTCACAAAATTTTGGTCATACGTAGGGTTTTTTTTTTTTTTTAAATTTTATATATTATATTTTTAGGCACCTTCATGTGCGATAGGACACCTCGAATAACCGCAACTGCGCCGCGATGTCTGCGCTGTTGTCCGCCCTGCTGTAATCCCTGTCTCTGCTGTCCGCCGGCCTGCTGTGAGCCATGCACTGCGTATTGCTTTTTCGACTTGGAGTCGGCGGTATTTGGTAAGATGAGCCACGAGCTATTTAAATGGCACAGATGAAAGCCTTTCGCTTCCAGACACGCGTCATATTTATCAACGCGCTTGCCGCGAACTGCTGGCCAGCTATGATAAGACGCTGCCCGAGGAGGTGCTCATGCGCTGTGGTCCCATGGAGACGCATGAGATGGCCCAGTTGATATGCCGCAAATGCGAGTTGCCCGTGCTCTGGGAGAACTTCCTGGTGCAGCTGAACGAGCACACCTGTGAGCTGATTGCCAATCCGCCGCTGATGGACGGCGTGGAGCGTCTCGTCAAGCATTTGTATGATAATTGCATTGGCCTGGCGCTGATTACCTCCAGCAAGAGATCGATATACTGCCAGAAGATACGCGGCCGCGAAGAATTCTTCGGTATGTTCAACGTTGTGCTCTGCTCCGATGAATATAATCGTCCCAAGCCAGAGCCGGATTGTTATTTGATTGCCATGTCGTTACTCTGTGATCCGCCCTGTGTGGAATGCTGTTTGGCCTTCGATGGCACCACCAAGGGCGTGCAGGCGGCCAGGGAGGCGCACTTGCAGGTGATTATGTTGCCGGATCCCGATCTGCCCTGTTGCTGGTCTGAGCTGGCCACGCAGCGTCTGGAAACGCTTGTCGATTTCGATCCCGAGGAGTTTGGCATGCCGTATCTGGCACCATTACCTGAACCACCTCCGGTGCCGTCGGCTCGTGCAAGTGCAGAAGATCAACGAATCAGCGCCATAAAGTCGGAGGAGGAGGAGATCATAACCAGTGGGCAGGACGATGAGGAGCCGCCGGAGACAAACGTTGAGGAGCCACCCACTGAACCAGCTTAGATTTTATATATACATACATATATGATCAAAGTTTTATCAAAAAAGCTAAACAACCAAATTTCTACTTTTATTACGGAAATTGTAAGAAAATTCATTAAAAACATAAACAAGAGTTGTGTGAAATACTTTTTACTCTTGTAGAAAAAAACTTTGTGACTTGCGGCAGTTTAATGTATACTCAATCTAAATCGAAGTGTTTCTTTGAGGGATATAATATATTATAAGAGACCAAACATATTAAAATAGGCTCTAATATTGGTTAAAACTTTTAGCATAAACAAAAGACTTGTCCAATTTTTGATCAGGGATGCAAAGGTTAGGGCTGCAAGATTCAGATTATACTTATATGTTTTAAAGGATATAATTGGTAAATATATATATCTTAAATTAATTTAGATTGATTTAAAATCGATATATCTGACAGCTATTTTGATAGGACGTGCACTGAGCCCAACGTTAGGGTATATTACGTACAAGATTAACATTTGCTGACAATATTCCAATTTCCAGCGGCAGCTTTTAGCTGAAGATTATCCAGATTGAAATGCCGTTAAAAACAGGATGAGCCTAACAATAAATCAAAATTAATTGCTTAAGCAAATACAAGATTCTAACGACTGTCTGCCTGCAGCCTTGCTGTCTGTCTATCTGTCTGTCGAAAGTCAATTGTTGACAATTTAATTATTCAGCATATTACGTATACGCCGTGTGTGGCTGCTCGAGTGCAAAGATGTCGCTCGTGTGGCATGCAGCAAACAGCTGCCACAGCCCAACTTGCAACTAGCAACTTTTGCCGGCAACAACAACAACAAAAACTCGGTCCCAACTTATAATTACTTAATGTTCCAACCAGACCGCCGGCAGCTGCCAAGCCAGTCAGAGTGCCTTATGCCATCTCCGCCTCCGGCTCCGGCTCCAGCTTCAGCTCAATCTCAATCCCTGTCTATGGCTCATAACCGCTAGCCGGTTCGCATAAAAGTAAAGTGAATAAACCTTTTAACTCTTTAGACTGCGTCGGCGACTTTTCTTTTTATTTTCGAATCATTATTTTTTTGCAATTTTTGCCCCCACTTCCGTTTTGCCTAATGAACGAACGCCACAGGAAGCACTCAAGGGCAGCTGAATAAAAGAATAGAGGCAAACAAAAAAAAAACACAAGAAAGAAAAAAAAACTACGGTTCGCCGAAGACTAAATACTCTTTTACACATGTGGCTTGGAAGTGCTATTATAGGAATGCTATTTTTTCGACCGACAGTTCTTATAGTATAATATATATAATATAGTAGAAGGAATAATGCGGTCTTGCAGATTTGCTAAGAGAATAGTGAACTTTGTATTGACTAAGTTGGCTCAAGATAAATCATTTTTTCACCTATTCTTTCTTAAGAGATATTCGATATAGAAACTCTAGCTTGTAATTTCTGGCACACATGTAAGGGGTTTATCGAAACTAATAAGTTTTAAGATATCTTCAAATAGGTTTGCCAAACAAAGAAATCATTTTCGACCGATCATTCCTATGGTAACTATATGATGTAGTGATCCGATCCGATAGTTTTTAAGCTGACCAGCTTGTAAATAATCATCCAGCTATATCAACTGAGCTGTTGATACTGATCATAAATCTATATATGCGTCTGTTTCTTTGTGTTACACATTAGATGATTAAATTATAGTACCCATAAGAATAATAATAAAACGAAAGTGCGCGGAAAATAATCATAGACGCCGGCTCAAAACAAGTTGAAGTTTTTCATTTCTTAATTTAATTAAAGTCCTCAACGCCTCGGGACTTGTAGCTTTCTGATATAAATTTCAAATTCGCTTCAATTTTAGCAATTGAAGTTGGGACGTATATTTATATATATTTTTATAAAGATTTAGCTATGCCTTTTCATATTTCTTATTTGTAAATGAAAATAAACATCAAGCGAATCCTAAAAATGACTGTTTTAATTTTATACAGGCATATTTAAAATTTACAGAGCTAACCAAATGTAAATTTCGAGATATTGTCAAACTCTGGCAGGCCAAAGAGCTCCGGCTGGAACTCGGCCATGGAACGCAGCACTAGAGTGGCATCATTGGTGATTTCGGCCGGAACACGTGGATCGGGTATCAAAACCACCTGCATGCCCGCATCTAAGCCCGCCCGCATGCCGGCGGGCGAATCCTCGAGCACCAGACAGCACTCGGGCCGTGGCGTTGGCTTGAAGCGCGATGCTGCCAGCAGATAGATATCCGGCGCAGGCTTGCCGGCCTTCAGATCCGGATCATCGCCGCAGACGATGTGACGAAAGACGGGCATCAGCTCGCAATGGGGCCGAGCCTTCAGATTAAATGTTTTGCGAAAGGAAGAGGTGGCAATTGCCATTGGGACACGAAATTCGAACAGATGCAGCAGCAGTTCCCTCGCGCCGGGCATGAGGGCCACATTGGACATCCGGCGAGTGACCTCGGCTTCAAACTTGGCCATGTACTCAGGCACGGTTAGCGGCAAATTGAACTCATTGACCATCATCTCGGCTGCCTTAGGCGCTAGCATGCCCATGCAGCGCATTTTCAGCTCGTAGGTGTAGGTATGTCCATAGGGCTTGAGCACATCTTGCACCGCTTCCGTGTACAAGTTTTCCGTATCTGAGAGATAGACATCAGATATGGTTGCAGTTCTTACGAGCCGGATATAGTTTACCCATTAGAGTGCCATCGTTGTCAAAGATGACATGTGTCACTTTCTGAAAGCACTTCGGCGTAGTTGTTGACATTTTTTACTTCTCCTTCTTACAATAACGCGGTTTCTTGGCCTAAAACATTTTCCAAAAATTGTACACTTTTTTTTTGGAATTTATTTTGTCTAAAAATGTTGAAAACTGAGTTAATGCTTCATGATGCTTTGCAGTAAGTACAGCGACTATATAAGGTCACCTCCTCATTTTTTACTTGGTAGTTCGAAAAACTGCTCAATGGCCGACCTGGACTTCTCATGGGGTTTGCAGTGTATTTCCTCGTTTTGGCCCTATATCATTTCTAATTCTATAGTTAGAAAATCTCTCAATCTGGTATACCTTTCATTAAGGTTAATTCCACAATATAAAAAAAATGGTTATATTTGCCATTAAACTGCAATTAGACCAACTCTATTTGAACATTTTGCCCTGGGGCAGGCTGCTGTTGAAAGATCACGTTAATTTCATTATGCACGCCGAAGGAAATGTTGAAAAGAAAATGCTTCACATGCATTTTAATTAAACTATTTTCGACTTTTGCAACGTACAATTTAAAATACTTTGCCAACTTGCCAAAGCAGCGAGTGGCGCAGCATGCGCGGGTGCGACTGCAAGTGGAAGGTGTTTGCTGCAGCTGTCAATTTAGTGGCGCCTCGGGATAGTTGCCTTTTTATGCCCCAGCCTTAGCCATAGCCATGGCCGTAGCCTAATGCATGCCACGTTTGGGTGTGAGGGCGTCTTGAGCTCAGTTCGGCTGCCAGTTTCAGGCTGTCGCATGTTGTTACAAAGTTGCGTAATTGATTAAGCAGTTGGCAAGCGTGCCGCAAGACGCTGTGGCAGCGACAAACTTCGTCATACGACTGCACGTGCCGCACGTTGACAGCCGTTTTTGGAGTCACGCAGAAAGAGGCAAGTGCCATGTGGCAGCAACGTGTTGGCTAAGCGTCCCAAATCGAGCTGCGCTCGTTAGACATATATCAGTTGGATCGTAGAAGACAATACGATCATATAAGATTATATATTTACTTATCTTTAGATAAAATTCCTTTTACATAAGATTTCAGATCATTTTCACTTTAATAAACTACACAGGAACTGTATATACTATACGAGACTTAAATTTTCTATGCGCGGTAACTGGGTGAGAAGCTTATATTTACAACTTTAAGCACAAAACTTGCCAAGGGCAAGGCCGGGGAATACCAGCTGGTATAAATATATATTTGGAATAACATACTCACCTTTAAAATCCCACTCACGATTAATTTATCGTCATCTTTAAATAGGCGGGGGATGAACTTTTATGTAGACGCATCACTAAAAAAACAGAAAAGCAGAGTTAATGTTAGTAGCAATCGCTTAGTAGAGCAATATTTACATTTATGTCGCTTGTTCATTTATATAAATATTTGTATTATATATGTTTATAATACGCACCAATTTTGTGAATTGCCACATTTAAAAGTAATGCCGTCTCCTCCGGCAAAGCCATATCCACCGTCTCCTCCAATATTAATAACGTCGCCTCCTCCATAGTAGAAGTAGTAGCGGTCGTCTCCTCCAATTTTAAAGTCGACATGTCCTCCTTCATTGTTGAAGCGGCCGCTTCCTCCAATAGTAAAGCGGTCATCTCCTCCACAGTTGAAGCCGCTTTCTCCAATACAAAAGCCGCCGGCTCTTCCACTTGAAAGAGATTTATTGGAGTTTATAAGAATCGCGTAGTAGGGAATTAGTTAAGAATACATTTATTTACAAACATATATACATATATACATACATACATATATACATATATACATATATACATATATACATACATACATACACACATACATACATCCATACATACATCCATACATACATCCATACATACATCCATACATATATACATACATACATACATACATACAAACATACATACATACATACATACATACATAGATACATACATACATACATACTTACATACATACATACATAGATACATACATACCTACAAACTCATATATGTCCCAAAATATATTCACACTAATAAGCACAGACGAATTAAACACACAAAAAGAAACACTTATAGTTAATGCATGGAAACTAGTAAGGCTTACTTGAAATTATGAGAATCGCATAGAAGGACAATAGTTTTAATGAATTTTTTTAATTTGCAACTAAGTGGGAAGTCAACTTAGTCAAAGTATATTATCAAAGATCACACATGATACTTACATACATACACACATACTTACATACAAACATGCTACACGCATACTTGCATACATGCATGCATATATACAGACAAAAATACATACATACCCATATACATACAATCATGCATACGTACATAGTTTTGAGGCCGATCTGATGGTAAACAATAAAGTTGCATTCGCGATTTTTCCACACTTGTGGGTGGAATTCCAAAAACCCCTTCTTAGCGAACATCTGCTGCACATAAGGCAACCACAGTAAAAATGTCAGCTTCCCATCTCTTACGATTTGGGCTGTGCGTTGATCACCAGTCAGTCAGTCAGTCGGTCAGTCATTCAGGACAAACAGTTTAATATATAGAGAGATATGATGCCGTCTTTCGGCAGTTAAATCACATTTGCCTTGCAATGCGCTACCTAATTGTCACTTCCTTTTTTTATTTTAACAGGGTATTCTAGCATAAATTGTTTTGCTATCCTAAAAGGCCGACCACAAAATAATTTGAACGTATTTTGGTAGCACACGCGCAAAGTGGAGAGTAAAACCGCAGTGGCAAAAACGACGTAGCGACTGCCAGTCAATAAAATGGCTTTAATTAATCGGAAGCGCTGCGTCAGCTGTTGCCACAAAAACAAGGCAACAAGGCAACAAAATGGGTAGCAGACGTTGAGCATTTGAATGCAGCGACGAATTGGGCGCATAAATTATGCAGCCAACCATTTGGGGCAAGCATTTATAGCCACGTTTTTTGGCCACGAACGGGAACGGGCTGGCAGGCACCGAACGGCCGACTGGTCAGCAACAATATGTTGTAAACGTTTAATTTGAGCGCGTTTCTAATCGCTGTCCTGGCAACGTGCAACGTGTGGCAGCCACCCAGCAGCACCCGCATACCCACCCGCACACCAGCCCCTGTCCAGGGCAACAAGCCCGACCAGGTCGCTTGTAATTGCGTTTATTGAATTGTTAACTGGATTCGTTGTCTACGGCCAGCCGCTGGCCGCAACCGCAACTTGCAGCGGCGGCAGCAGCGGGAAAACGGCTAAAAGCTGTTGTTATCCTTGTGGTTGTTGCGGCTAGCCTTCCTGTGAGTGTGTTCGCGTGCATGTGTGTGTGTGTGTGTCCCTTGAGTTGATTTGGCTGTGCAGCGAGCCACGACGCATTGGGATTTGGTTGTAGCCGCAGTACAGCAGCAAAATCCCGGTCAATGCACATCAAACTCTTGGCTCGCTCTGCATTTGGCATTTATTGGTATTGTTCCAATTAAAGTTCGACCAGCCCCATAAAATATGCAGACACGTAAAAGTTCCCAGTTCGATTTGGCTGCCACAGGACATTAATGCTTAACGGTCAATGGTTTTGACTGCAGCATCCCGAACATTCCAGTGGACACTGCCAATAAAAGGTAATAAAACTCGAAGAACAGTATTCCCAGAGCTGCTGCAGTTGCTCGACTGCAATTGTGAAGAGCTGCAATGAAATTAAAGATTCTACTTGGGCGTATAACCTGAGCATAGGCGGAATTTTGAGCAAGCCTGCAAATCGGCAGGATTAACGTCTTGTTTTGTATATGAACAGCTGAACCTAACTATATAGATGTATTTATACAATTTTTCAAAAAATCGTTTTTTGGTTTAGTTTTAGCTGTTTAATAAATGGTTTGAGAGGTCGTCTTATGCGCCATTTGCGTTTCTTTAGTTACTTAAAAGCGTCAGGTTTCTAACAATATAATAAAATATAAAAAACTAATTTGATTCAAATAAAAAGCAGGTAGAAGTTATATCTAACAATATTTGCTAGAAGCCAATTTGGCATGGGGATCTAATATAGCCCGCAACTTCTATATGAAAATATTAATGGCATTCAATATTTTCAGTAGAACGAGCAATAAAACATAAGAAACTGCGTTTTTTTCGATTCAAATGACGCACATATACGACTTGCCGAGTTTTGAACCATTGACGTGGAAAACAAAGTTTCAAAGTGAAGCCCAAGGAAGCGTGCTGGTTCAAACCGCAAGCCAAAATTTGCTTGAGTTTGAGAATATTTGGGGCCAAGCTTCCCGGGCCTATTTTAAAAATAAGAATATTATGCTTAAAGTTTTTTGGAAATTAGTATGATTAAATTCATATGAACATACTATTATCTATCTATTATCTATTAGCTATCCAATTAAATTTCTAGCAGATAAATTTCAGACTTACCTAGATTAGCTGCCACAAATTATGACGAAACTCTTTGCCAATTACCAGTGCTGGTTAATAATCCGTGGATAGGTTATGCATCTTTGCCTGCGCTTGGCGAATCTATCTACTTAGTATTCATGCTATAGCCCACTTAATTTTCTCAGTTAGTCACATACTTAGTTATTCTCTTTAAAAAAAGGTCCACACATGACTTTTCATTCCATGTCATAACCGCGATTAAGTGATGCCAAAGAGAAACCCTCATTTGGCTGAAGGCAACTCGCAACATGCTGAGTGTTTTTTGCACTCAATAAATATTGTCTGACCGCACACTATCTATCGCTCATCGAGGTCTCGGATGTCAGATGTGGCCCGGCAGTCACACATCCTTGTCGAGGCATCACGCACAGCACAGTCTCGGGCTCATGGGCGCCCCCGAGGCGCAGTTGAGCGATTTCCCAACGGTGGCACCAGCTCCAGCTTTAGATCGTGGCCAAAAATGCAAGAGCCCGCAACAAAGTACAAAAAGCATGGCACAAAGTCCAATTTGTTTGTAATGGCATTTACTTTGTTTACAAAATAAATTTTGTATGCACAGCGAGTAGTTTGTACTTCCTCCAAACTTGCTCGCACTCCAACTCTATCGCTAGCCCCATCTCTGTCTGGCTCGGAGCCCGACTCCCAGTCTGACTCCAGCCCGTGCAGGCGCGGTAAGGCGACTACAAGCTCAAAAATAAGAGAACACAAAGGGCAAAAATAAAATAAATAGATGGATGCATATAGTACAAATTCTAAAATCGCTGTACCATAAAATTTGCCCATCGGGCGCTTGGGTTTTTGTTATGCCACTCTAGGCAAGGACGATTCTCTTGCCTTTTCGCTGTTTAATTTTGCAATTGTCCTTTTCGATAGAGCACAGACTGAGAACATAAAAAAAAAGCGGAGAGAGAGCGTCGTTGAGATATGGAGTTGGAGAGGGAGTTATATATTCCGGTCATGGCTGTTGCGGTTTGTGATTTATGTTTGTTTATGTTGTTCAACATTTGTTTTATTTACCGCACATACTAAAAATAATAAAAAAAAACCTTGCCAAACTCAAACAAATAAGCAGCTTAGAGACAACAACTCGCAGCACTAAACATTGGAAAAGTAAATTCTGCTTCTCTCTAGTTTGGCATCGACTTTGTCATGTCATATAATACCTAGAAGTACAATTAAGGTTTCAATACATTTTGTTAATGATAACTTAATAGTACTGATTAGTTTTCTATTTAATTCCAAACTAGTTTATTATGTTCAGTAATTAAGTGTTTGTCTCTTCTATAAAGCTTAAGGCCTTGCAGTTAATATTTATAATAGCTCTCAGCCAGGAAAAAAATGTTAACAAAAAACATCATAACCTTCTATTGCTCAAAATTCTCTAGCTCAAGATTTGGCTAGCACTGCATAAGTTCTAGAAACCAGTTTGGGTTTAGTTTAAGGTTCATGGAACTGAAATTATGTGTATATTTGTGCAAATTTGTTTGTTAAACCGGTTCTTAAAGTTATGTTTCATTATAATCGCGTCATTTTAGAATTTTTTACAAAGCACTCGAACCTCGGACAGACGCCGTCGAGTCGCAGCTGAGCTAATAAAACATTATTGGCCATTATAATTTTTGAGTACAATAGCATATTGTTAAGTCTGGTCAGTTCTAAAGAATGATTGAAAGCAAGATGTGTCACGCGCTCTGTGTGTTTATCTATACATATATGTAATGGAAAATATTTGTGACTAACAAATATAATATTCCAAGAATATACAAAATTTTAAGAAATGTAAATATCGCATGGATTGCTCAAGTTTTGTGTTTAAATGTGAGTTGTTAAAATTTTTTTTAAATCTTAAAAAAAAAAATTCATTTTATCCTAAACAATATGCATGACCGTGACCAATCGGGCTATTATATTGTATTTGAAAATAGTTGAATGGATTAGTCGCAGTTATTAAAGTGTGGCAATTTTTAACTTATTTTAACATTTATGTTCATAACCTGACGAATAGTCCAGGAAAACGTATGCTCTAGTTAACTAGTTAGGGATTAATTTATTAAAAATTATTTAAACCAGTGAAACAAGGTGTTTCAAAAGTAAATATATTACTGTGTGATTAAATTTGAGTATGTATCAATTTAATGTGATTTTTTGATTAAACCTTTAATGGTATATAATATGATGTACATGATTTTATTTAAAAATAAAGCCCAGTCAATGTATATAGAATCTGTTATGCATCGGGAGGGCAGCCATTCTGCTGAACGACTTTCAGTTTATCAATTCGTACGCCCAATCGTTTGGCAATTAGTTGAGCCTGGAATACAAGATCCTGCGATGGCGATCGTTGGCGTGTCAGTATGACAGCATATTCTGCAAACGAAGGAATTCAGGACGCAGCCGTCTCAGGCAACTTGGTGAAATGACTTACGAAAGTTAAGAACTTCATTGGAATCAATGCACATGAACTGTACAGCAAATTTATCATAGTCAGTGACTAGCACATACATCTCCCCGCCACCAACAAAGGCTAATAAAGGAAGATTATATTGACTTCTACTGAATACATAGATAAAGCTGTTATACTAGTTTCTACATACCAGAAGATGATGTTTTCAATGTGTATTTACCACCCTTTCTATCCACGCTTTCAATATCCGCTTTTTTTACCACCAAAGTATCCTTTCTATAATTTGCTTCATTTAAGAATCTTAACTTTTGTTTTTTTGTATTAAACCAACTTACACGTTGTGTAGCTCCGTCACCTTTAGTTGAAATTTTCCATTAGGCAACTTGTCAATTTGGATCGCTCGACATTTGGCCATTTTTTTTTTAAGTGATGGAAACATTGAGTACGTGTACCACTTGCCCACGTACTTGTCCATATGGAAATCACCAATGGCTGTCATATTTGATGGACATGCACCTTCAAATACCTCTAATCCCATAGCGCGACTGCCGAACAAGAGCATCAATATGCCAAAGCTGCTGGGAATCTTAACGATTACTATAATTGTAATAAATTATTATCTTAGATATGATTACATACATGCCGATTCGTGGGTTGCACATGTTTTAAAGTCTGAACTGCGAATAGATTGACAGAAACAAGAGCCATGCAGTTTCTGCAAAATTGCATTAGTAATGGCCTTAGCTTGCAATATTGATTCGTTAAAGATAATTCATTAAACTTATAATAAATCTTCACAATTAAAATCATTTTCAATTTCATTGAAAAGTTTCAAGCTTGCAATTCCAATATGAAACTTTAAAAATTATTTTTAATTTCTTGAATTTTGTATGTTATATTTTACAATATTTTGTGTGTAATTTTTTAAAAATTAAAATATTATTATTTTTTTATTTTTTTATTTATTACACAAGAACGTATTTACAATATAATCTGAACATTCGTAAACTCTCTGCTAGTAAACAACTATGACATTTATATCTAACAAACTCTGCTTTTCTTTTTCAATTTATAGTTTTCTCTGAGTATACATTGGGGATATAAGTATTTAGTGTTAGCTAAGCTGCTATAAACTGTTGCATTTAGTTATTTAAGAAGTTCATGAATATATCGAAGAGACGCTCGTTGAAGCGCCGGAGCCAACCTCATGCTGTCTCAATAGCCTGCGGCAATGCATTGCTCACAAATACGTTCTCCTCAGCTGAAGCTGTGCCATTGCTCTCCAGTTGGGGACAGTTCTTTTGGTCGGTATCGATCAGCACAGATTGGGTTATCTTATTGTCATCCAGCACCTTGTAGGCCTTCTCGAGTGTCTCCTTTGTGGGCTCACGGTCGCGCGTCAATATCCAGACGATTTCTGCAATAGCAAATTCATATGATTGTAATTAACGTGCTGGCCAATATGTCCCTGGCTGACCATAATGCAATAAATTATGGAGTTGCATTAATTATGCCAAATGCAATAACTGATTTGTCGTTTGCATGTTAAATTGGCCAAGGCCAAGACGGGACGTGCCCAGCCAATCGGTCTAAGCTTCCGCATACTCACTCAAATGGGCCAGTGGGGTCAGGCTGGTGCAGCTATAGACAACTGCATACGACTCGTAATCGGTTCCCAGTACCAGATAGTTGGCCCTATTAGCTTGTTCTGAAAGTTATAAATGCAAATATAGATGAAGATACAGATGCAGATGCAGATGCAGATACACGGCTGCATTTACTTACGATTCGCGGAGAAGGTCACGGCCAGTTGACCGGGTGCAATGATCTTGGCCGTGCCAGTCACATTTGTTGGGCTTCCGGTGCTGTAGGTGCGAGAATATATGGAAAATTCTAGATGTATCCCAAAAGCTTTAAGCTGAACTACTCACAATTTATTGATGGCCGCATTTACTACAGATACTGTGCTGTTATCGGCGAGTTCATAGCGCGCGTAAATACATTTCTTGCCTATTTCAAAGGCAAATGGATACTTCGCATACTCATACCAGACGCCCAAGTACTGAAAAATAAAAATAAAAAATATATTAACAAGTTGAGCTAATGAGCTGTTAAAGATTTACAATCGCAGCGCAGGTGTTTAGTCATGAGACATTCCAGAAAATACTTGAAATTTGGCGACACGTGTAACAGATTAGGAATCCATGTGTCAAGCTGTTATCTAATCTATGATAAAATATTGATAACAGCCATATGGTCAACATGTTTTGATTTCTGTTATCAAATGTCTTATAGTTTTTGATAATTGATTAAAGTTCATAGACTTCTTATAAATATTTGTCATAATTAAGTGGACAGTCTGCAGCAGTTTTTTAGGAACTTATTAGATCAAAATTAATATAAAAATAAAATTTAATAAAACTCTACTCTCTGAATCATAAAAGAAAAAATTATTTGATTTTTTTGTTGAGTCATTTTGGAGTATAACAGTTAAATATGTTATTAATATTATATATGTTATGTATTTTATATATTAAATATCAAGTCTCAAAACAATTAGTTCTAATAGAAGATCTCGATTTTATAAAATTTAATTAAATTTTTTTATTTTTCATATTTAATCAATTGATTGAAAAATATCAATTTAATCATAATATTATATCTTGTTTTCAGCTACTTTCTTGAAGTTGTAGTTTGATCAATTTCGATTAAAAAAATTTTAATTAAAATGGGCAAAACAGCGAAATTCTCAAGAATGTAACTCAAGATAGGCATTCAGAGAAAACTAATTTGCCAACTTGATGAATGCCTTTGGCACAATTAATTAAAGCGTTACATTTGATTAATAATGGGGCAGGTTCAAGTGCTCAAGTGGTTGACAATTGTGTGGTACTTACCGCCTCTAAGTCAAAAGTGTCCACAATCTTAACCTCTGGACACCGGCCGGGGAAGGGCACTTGGGCCCAGACTCCATTTAAGGCCACAAATGTGAGCAGCCAAAATGAGGCACTGCAACAACAACAACAAAAACGAGAATATGTCAAGAGTCAAGCGAATTAAATTAGTTTTACATTCTAAAGGACAGGGTGGGAAGGGGGGGTTAATTATGTGGTTTATATATCAATTTACCTGATAGATTGACGCATTATTATGGAATCACTAGGATATGCTTTTGAAAGAGTATTTCAGCTCGTTGTATTCTCACTCAGCTCGTTCGTTGAGTACTGACATTCATGCGGCTGCAGTGCATCATTTATAGATTCATCTGTTCGAGCTTTTTGTCGGTTTGTTGTTGCCTTTTTTTGTATTTAGTGTTCTGCTTCTTTTTGCTTGGCGACAACAAAGCTTTTTTCCACTGCGCCGGCGCTGCTTTGTTGTTGAAGTGTAAACAAATGAAAAGTGAAATGTTGTCGATCCAAACGGAAAGGCTGAAAGCTGCGAGGGGGTTGGCTGGGTGTTATAAGTGGATCTCTCAATGTTCTGGTTACACTCGCTGCACGCGACGCTTTTACTCCGCTTATCTGGCTCATGATTCACTGAGTCAATAAAAATAATTAAAAAAAAAAAACAAACAAACACAATCCCAATATCAAGAGCAACTCAATAAGGTTGCATAACTATATAAAAAATATATGGGCGCGAATAAAAAGAATTAAATCTTTCGAATATGCAGATCAGGGATCAGATGACAGTCCACAAGCTGAAGGCATATTAATATAATTTTTATTTATATATAAAAGACCACACAACATACACGGCGGGTATCTGCTAGATTGAAAATAGTATATATATATATTATATAGTTTACATATATATAATTATAATTAATATATAACTAATATATATATTTTAACTTTAAATATAATTCAAGCGAGTTGCTTGGGTTAATGAACCTGCAAATGTACCGTTAAGCTCATTGTAACTTTACATGTAAAAAGTAAACGAACTTAAGTTTTTTTTGCCGTATTTTAGTTTAAAAACAAATTATTATTGGAAGAACTTCTTTGCATGTAAAAATTAAGCATAATTTTGAACAATAATGAATCACCACGACTGTGCGTATCAGTATAAGCTACTGATTTATAACTACCAATTGAAAAACATATGCTCTTATCAAAAATATTGTCTACTGAATAATCGATTTTTCTATGATTTAAGCCTCATAAACATAATTTCAGATTTATTGAAGAATTAGTCATCGTTTTTTATTACTTTCGTAGAGGCAAAAACCTCTTGAAATGCTTATCTAACACACCCAATACAACATTATCTATGAAACAACAAAATCTTAGAGTTCTCTTATGATTAAACAGCGCATGTCAATTGGCTTCCACATAGAACCAAAGCTTTTGCTAGCATGTGGAATGTGTTTGCAGCGCCATCTATTGGCAACGAACAATCGTTTGAGTACTGGCGCCATCTGTGCGGCGCTTTGTGCCGCAACTGCAACTGCGTGTGAATGTATGAAATCCTTATAGAGCAGCTTAGCGGTCGTCTTGGCCATTATTTATTGAAATCTCTGGAGCACACACACACACACATACACACCTGCACAAGCTCATACACTCACCCAGCCACACAGAGAAAATTGTTGTGCTGCGGTTATTTAAAAAAAAATGTATATATACATAATACATTTTCGTATTATTAAATTAATTAAATGTAAGCCACAAATTGAGTTAAATGTACAAAAATGCGCCCACGGCAAAGGGCAAAACACTCTGGAAGGCATTCACATATGGCCGAGGCAAACTGGCTTCCATGCATATATATTTATTTAAGTGGAAAGCTTGAAAGGTTTGTTGAATGCCATTTTAAAAATTACAAAAAAAATATATATACGTTAAAAATATCCCAAAAATAAAGAAAAAATTATATTTGAATATTTAAGCCACATACAATATTTTTGTCTTTTAATGGATTCAAATTTTTGCTTCCACAAATGTATTTATTTATGTTTTAATATTAACATTACACCATGCATTAAAAAAATCTTTTATTATACATTCCCCAAATTTATTTTCTTAATAATTTTATGCATGATTCTAAAATCTAAAAAGATTTTTATCTCGAGGTTTTTCTCTAATTGAAGTCAAAGAAAAATAATTAATATTTAAATAGATCAAAATGAATGCGACTGAATTTTTGACGATTTTTCTTAGAACAAGTGAGTTTTTATTTAAAGCTAAGAGCTGTTAAAAAAGGTTATAAAATCTTTAAATGATTTAATAAAATATATTCGAGCAGCCCTCGCATATTAAAATGCTTACAGCTGTGTGTGGACAGCACAGATCTGAATGGCCTACCAACTATTTTCGAATGGAAATTTATGGTGCTCCAGAGCTGAGCCATTGCGACAAATGAAAGGATCTCTGGAATGGGTAAGGGTGCGGGCAGGGCGGGGTAGTCGAAGGGAGTACAGGTAAATGGGTAGGTTGATCTGCTTGGATGGATGGATGGATGGTTGGTTGGCTGCTTGGATTTGGCGCTGTTGTTGCAGCGTGTAGTAATTAAATTTAAAATATGTACACACAACGGATGTTTGAGTTTTGAAACGGGGGGTGGGGGAGGAGGCAGGGTATAATTTTATCAAAGGCAGCCGACACGACTGCAAAACCGATGCAATAAGCCAACCAACCGGTCAGCTATGGAGCTACAGCTTTGGCATATGCAAACCGCGCACGCACACACATACAACTGCAATAAATGCACACCAACACACATACACACACTCGGACATTCGCACACAATTCAATCATTTTGCCTCCATTTTAAGTGTATTTTGCGGTTATGCGCTTTATGGGCATTTTGTCCCATGTAATTCGATTTATATATGGCTATCTCTAGCCCAGTCGCCGCCTCCGCTCCCCCCCCCCCCCCTCTCGTTCTCTCTGCCTCTTTTGTTGATTAAAAAAGAAATCAGAGCCCTGGCCGCAGGATGCGTGCGTGCGGCCATTTAATTGACCGGCTGCAGCCTTTTAAAATTTTGCTAACAAATTGAATTAAATTTTATTATTGTTATGCCTGCAGCAGCTGCAGCAGCTCTTCTTCTACTTGCAGCTGCCGTGCATTCAACAGTTGAGGCGGCCAAAGGATTCAAGGATTAAGCCAAATGAGCAGCTACTAAACAGCATTGCGGCAGGAGCTGGGAAACTCCCCGCATAATGACCTTTAACCCAGTTCCTTTGGGCTTAGCTGCGCACAGTCGCTGAGCCTGGGAATGACACAACATGACGCAATTTCGGATTTTCGCACACACACGCACACACATACACAGCGATGCGCTTTTGGATGTCCTGTCACAAGGTCTTTGAAAGGTTTCACATGAACGGTTGGAATATTTGAGCTTTAAACAGAACTGGTTGCATTGAATTGAATTTGTTGCAAAGTATCCAGTTTAGGTATATGCCACAATTTAATACAATATCAGAGGTAATCGAAGAGTTAATAAGCCTAAGGATTACTTTTATTAAAATGGATTTGTTACATGAGACGCCAGAGATTATCAATCTCTGTCAACGCTTTTTTAATTATAATTCTAATTGTGGAATCTAAAGATACTCTATAGTCTGGCTTGCTGTTGTCCTCCATGGTCAAACATTTCCTTACAAAGTAAAGTGAACATTGTGGACAGCATCATGTGAAAATAAATGTTTAAATCGACAAACGATTGCCTCAAAATTCAAAAATCCATAAACTTAAGCTGATTGGAAATGGTATTTATATCAAATAATAGGCGCATTGTTTTAAGCACTTTTAGTGAGCTTACATTAAAATGATATATTCCTGCAGTAAAAGCTTTCATAACCGGACTGCCCGTCGCGGTCGCCCCTTGTACATTCATGGAAGCTATCAGTGTATTTAACTTATATTCTAACTGAATAAAAATCCTTTTTTTAAAACAAAGCAAAAACCCAATCTTATTGATGCTGGCAATGCTTAATATATTATTTATTTAGCACCTTGCTGTTGCCCCTTGGTTGGGCATCAGTTGTTTTGCGGAACTTGCAGCCGTGTGGCGTGTGGCACGTGGTGTGTGGGGTGCAAGAACAAGAAGCAGACAACAAAGGCTAAAGTGGAAGAACCTGAAAGTATTTTGATTTGTGCAATGCTCGAAAGTATTGTCGTTTGGCAGCCACTGGCGGCAATTTCTTAAATTTTTTATAGCGCATAACCTGTCTGGCACACATGCGCGCCATTCCCTGCCCCACCCACGAGCAAACTACCCGCAGCGCCTTTCTGGCAGCTCCTTGTTTGTTGTTTGTTGTAAGGCTCAAAGTTAGCGCAGGACTAAGACGCGAACAAGGACGAGAATGCGAACGAGAGCGAGCACGAGAATGAGGCTGATGCTAAGGATGTCGTCGCTATCGTTGGCTACGCTTATTGCATTATGCCACCGAGCGCCAAGTCAGTCAGCGTGCGTGCACAGCCAGATAGAAAGAAGTTGGAGGCGTGTGGTGGCAGAGGAGAGGCGGCAGGAAGCGGCTCAGGATATATCCTCGCCAAGTGCAGCTGATGCCACTTTTGGCCCGTGGCAGTCGCGAGCTGTTTGCTGTTGTTGGTTATGGCGTGCTAAGAAGAAAAACTCAGCGGCAAAAATAACAAGAAACGGAAATTAGAAACGGCACAACGACATATGAATACCCTTTACGTATCGCTGCTTGTTAATTTACTTGGCAAACAAATCTTCAATAGAAGACAAGCAGTGCTTTTTAAGCAGAAAAAACTGAACTTTATTAGGTAAAGCTCTCATGTGCTTTCACTGCTTTCACTGTTAATCGCCTCAACGCATAGAAATTCTACTATAGGTGAGCTTTTGATGTAAACGAAGCTTTCATGTGCTTTTCAATCTGACATCGATTGTGTTTCATTGAATATTTTTCAGTTTTAAAAGACAAAAGCTAATTTTAAGTTTTTAGCTTGTATTATTAACACCTAATAAGACTAATATGTTTAGCGAACTTTAAGTTAAAAGCTTTATTTTGAGTTAAGTGTTAATATACTTAATTAATATTATTTATACTTCAATTTATATTATATTAGAAACTTGATCCGTTAAAGTAATATTTAATAATCTCTTCTTGAGTCTAAATAAAAGTTGTATCTGTCCTCAAACCGAATGCTCAAGTGTACAAGCTCTTCGCAAAGACCATACAAATATGAGAATTGGCACAGCTTCTATGCATCCCATACCCCGCACTCTGGCCAACATTTCCTGCATCATCTGTACCCACAGCACCCCCGATCCAATCCGCGTTGCTGGCAAGAAATGTTAATACCAAA